CTTGATAAGAGTGGATAATAAGGAGATTACACAGGCACTAGCTTGTTTGGAGTTAACCATTCAAATGTTTGGTGTTGTATGGTTTATTTTTAAACCGATATTCGAGGTTATGAGAACAGGTTGACATTTCGTCAACAAATCTTGTTGAATTTACCGTTTATCCTTGTCTATCTTATTGTCTGTATAATTCCATGGTTACCGGAGTTTTAAATAATTACGAAGCAACAGGTATTTGCGCAATGTTAATTAAGCAGATTACCTTGAAAACATTGCAGCCGTATTTCTGATATAGTTTTTTGCAAATTTCTCAGTTTTTAATAACAATTAATTTCTGTTACTATTTTTTCTGTACTCCTATAACAGCGCCAGACAACACCTCCAGAGGAATGACGCAAATTTTGAATCACCCTGTATAATGGGACACAGCGGATACTTACGGCTTTGGTCCGAATCAATCTCATTACGAGTGGGGAAAATTGATCTTTTTTATGAATTATTTGGGTAATCGAAGTAGATATTATGGAACTCTTGGGGGTGTTATGAGCTCGATTAAAAAGAATGCTCTTTTAAGTTTTTTCAGTCAGTTTGTCTAGGCGATACAGGGTAAAACTGGAAAATTGCTGATTTCAACTTTATTTTTAGCGCCCTTATTACTGGCATTTTTAATAGGTAATCATTTGTACAGACTAAGGGTACGTGCAACTGGCGGCCGAGCTGGGCGATTCGACTCAACGCGATAAACAAATGTACGGTATTAGATTACTCTGTGCATACTGCCTGCGGCGCGGTGTGAGGCAAAAAACACGAGTTTTGCAAAAATTCGTCAAGAAAAAGCCAAAAATTCCTGAATTCTGCCCATAGCTTCACTCTAGAAAATCGGCTGCTTTAAGTGAGGAAAAACTCACTTGAATATGAATTACTGGGAATTTCCAAGATGTTTCCAGTTACTAAGGGACAGCGATTGGCCGTTGGTGTAGATAGACAGTTTAAAAAAAATTGTCAAGGAAAAACCAAAAATCTCTCAAACCTTAGATAACACGGATTTTTGAAAATCGCCATGGAAAAACCAAAACTTCCTGAATTCGGCCCATAACATCACTCGAAAGAGAAAATCGGCTGCTTTAAGTGAGGAAAACTCACCTGAATAGGAAATTGCTCGGAGTTTCCAGGATGTTTTCAGTTACTAAGGGGAAGCTAGTGGCCGTTGGTATAGATAGACGAGTTAAAAGAAATTGTCAAGGAAAACTAAAATATCTTAAGTTTGCCAAGTATATCACTGAAAAGAATGAAAATATGCGGCTTTAAATGAGGAAAACCTGACTTTAATAGGAAATTTTCCAGGATTTTTTTAGATACTAAATCGAAGCGATTGGTAGTTGAACAACATGGATGTTTCAAAAGTTCGCCGAGGAAAACCAAAAATTTCTGAATGCGGCCCATCACATCACTCAAGACAAAATCGGCTGCATGGAAAAACTCACTTGATCAGGAGATTTCTGGAGTTTCCAGGATGTTTTCAGTCAAAGGGAAGCGATAGGCCATTGTATCAACAAGCGGATTTTGAGTTGAGTCGTGAATTGTGTCAAGCATTTTACTGGTCGTCTTTCAAAATTTCATTATTTTCTTTGTACTGCAAGTAGATATTTGAATTTTAGTGGTAAATAAATGTCTTTAGAGCCTCTGCAAGTTTCGGCTCAGTCGGAGAGCAAGAAAATTTTTGGCGAATCTTCAAAGTTGAGTCGTAAATTGTGGCAAGCATTTTACAGGTAGTCTTTCAAAATTCCCCCTCTCCATTGTACTACAAGTATGAATGAATTAATTTTAGTGGGATAAAGTAAAGAAATATCGTTTTTCAGTCTCTACAAGTTTCGGCTCAGTCGGAGGCCAGGATTATTTTTGGCAAATCTTCAAAGTTGAGTCGTAAATTGTGTCAAGCGTTTTGCAGGTTATCTTTCAAAAATTAATCCTTTCTTTTATACTGCAAGTAGAGACTTGAATTTCAGTGCTAAGGAAAAAAAAGGTTGTTTTTAGAGCCTCCACAAGTTTCAGCTTAATGGGAGCGCAGGAAGATTTTTGGCGAATCCTCAAAGTTAAATAGTAAATTGTGGCAAGCGTTTTACAGGTAGTCTTTCAAAAATTCTTCCTTTCCATTGTACTGCAAGTAGGGCCTTGAGTTTTATTGCTGAAGTAAAAAAACTTTGTTTTTTTACTTCTTTAGAGACTCCATAAGTTTCGGCTCAATCGGAGGGCAGGAAGAATTTTGGCGAATCAGTGGTTGTGGATCAACTGTGACTCAGATTACGATTTGTAGGCCATTTTTAATAGTTTTAGTGTTTACCGCACTACTGGTTTTTTATTTTAAGAAAATAAACATTTTGTTATAACTACATTGTTTTTTCTAATTAAAAAACTAGAAATATTTATTAAGTCAAATAACCCCATATACGGCTAGTTGACATATCTGTTCATCAATATAAAAGTATCACATTTTTTTTGTTCGTTATTGGAAACCAAAATTATTAATGAAAATCAAATATATACACAATTTATGAATTTTTGAAAAGCTAACGATAAATCCAAAAACGATATTATAATAAAATTAATAAAAATAAATATGCTACTTAAAACTTAGTCAACTAGCCCCGGTCTCCACTAATCCTAGCGTAGGAAGATTTTTGACGAATCTTCAAAGTTGAATCGTAAATAATGTCAAGCGTTTTGCAGTTCATCTTTCAAAAATGTCTGCTTTCTTTTATGCTACAAGTAGAGACTTGAGTTTTAATCCTAAAGTAAGAAAAGCCTTCATAAGTTTCGGCCCAATCGGAGGTCAGGATAATTTTTGGCGAATCCTCAAAGTTGAGCCGTAGATTGTCACGCGTTTTGCAGGTCGTCTTTCAAAAATTCCACCTTTCGTTTATACTGCAAGTAGAGAACTGAATTTTAGTACTAAGGTAAAAAAAATGTTGTCTTTAGATCCTCCATAAGTTTCGGCTCACTCGGAAAGTGCGAAGCTTTTTGGCGAATCTTCAAAGTTGAGTCGTAAATTGTGTCAAGCATTTTACAGGTGGTCTTTCAAAAATTCTTCTTTTTTTGTACTGCAAGTAAAGACTTGAATTTCAGTGTTAAAGTACAAAAGGTCGTCTTTAGAGCCTCCGCAAGTTTCGGCTCGAGCGGATGGCAGGAAAATTTTTGGCGGATCTTCAAAGTTGAGTTGTAAATTGTGTCAAGCATTTTACAGGTCGTTTTGAAAAAATTCCTCCCTTTCTTTATACTGCCAGTAGAGACGTAAATTTTAGTGCTTAAGTAAAGAAATTTCGTCTTTAGAGCCTCCTCAAGTTTCGGCTTAATCAGAATCGTCAAATTTCATCTATTTAGTTGCTACTGGGTAACTTATTATGGGTCCAAAAGTTTCCTGAATTATTTTGTCATTTTTCGGTCACATCCTTTTAAATTGCATTTTTTAGATCACGAGTTGCTTGCACGAGTGAGATCAAAATTTTAGGATTTTCTATTTTTTCTGTCTCTTCTTCGTTGATATTCAACTGCAATTCGAATTCTTTAAACGCTTTAACAAAATTACCCCCGTTTCCCCACACGGTAACTACAAATTTTTCAGGTTTGTAATCCAAATTCAAAATGGGTTTTGTCAAAAATGTTTGCAAATTTTATCAAATGTGTGACTTTTTATCAAATGTTGAGTCAGTCGATCATCTTTCAAACTTGCTGGCGATCCAGTGCGCAGTTAATCCGAAAACTCTCCTTCTCCAATCTAACATTTAATCGATTCATATAAGTAAAACTATTGACTATTTTGTGTATAAATCTGCCTTTTAGCTTTAACACCGTGAACGTCAGCAAGAGTAAAACTTTCGCTGTTTTTAATGTAAGATGCCACCATAAACATATCCACTAGTGGCAAAATGTCACATTGTTCTTTTACAAAACCTGCGTCAGTCATTTTGGAAGATTTTCTTTTTCTCCTAATACACTATAGAAACGTTTTAACGACAATATCAAGACATCAATTTATATGTTTACATGCTCCGGATTGCAGCCGCCACGGCCGACTAGCT